CAAGTCACATGTTATCAAATGCAGGTGGACAGCAAAGGTAAATCTTTCCTACCTGCACTGAAATTCCTCCCATGTAGATAAAAGCAATAAAAGCAGATTTCTGTGGCATGAGGTAAGTCAGCATAGCATGTCCAGGAGCATCAGCATCAGCACCAACCCTTTGCTCTCTTCTCCTTTCCTTTATGTTTGCAGATAATGTCTTTGCTACAGGTAACCTCATGGCAGGAGAGCCATCTTCCTCCCCTCACTGCTTCCTTCCTTTTGATTTCATTGGTGGTATCAGAAGGGAGACCAGCTCTCCGTCTTTTCTCCCTCCTAGTCAGTTCTTCAATTGCTGAACAAAAACTGCAATTATTTGTCAGGGGTGGGCAGAGTCTTGCTTGGAAAAGGGAGAGATGCCAAGTTATTGGTAAAAATAGAAATGGAAATGAATACCTGTGTGATGAACCTGTGGTATATATTAGTAATGGTGGCTTTTATTGTAATTTTTAGAAGAATAAGAATCAGCATGTGAGCTTTTTCTTCCCCTCCCACATCTGGAGATGAAGGCTGAGAGGCCTCTCCCACTTCCGATGGCATTCATCTCAAATGGGTGTGGATGGAATAGTTACTGAAGGCGGAGCAACAGCTGTTTTCTCTTTAATTTTTTTAAAAATATTTTTGTGTGGAAATCGATTCGCTTCTTTATTACCCAACCCTGGGGTCCAGCCACCACAGCTCTTAAATTCATACAACAATCACCAAATTAAAAAAACAAACAAAGTCAAAGATAAAAGAAAAGGCACAGAGCAAAATCAAAGTAAAGGGAATAGCAGCGTAAAGATCTAAAAAGTACGAATGCAGGTTGTTGGGTTAAAAAAAAGAAAGAAATGTAAAAGATCACAAAAGGGAAGAAATATATAGGATTTCACTTGGCATTAAACATGACACGGTGGAGATTCTTTTGGGTTATGGCTGTGTATTTGGAAATGTCTGAGCACTTAGTTTCAGGAGAGTGAAAGGTGTCCCAATAGTTAATGAAATATGCCCATTTTGTACAGATGCAAAATGTCTGTAAGTTCTCCGGCTTGTCATTTTTGGACAAGGCTGCAGTGTCAAGTCCTTACCGTGCCCTCCTCTTTCCCCTCCTCCCTGCCTGCTTTCAGCTGCTGTGAGCTCATCCCACATTATACAGTACAGGGCTGTGGCTTCCGCCTCCCTCCCTTATCGACGAAGCGCCACAGCATGCCTGGTGGAGCCATTGGAAAGACAGCAGCACTTCTCTTTGCAAGCCAAGGGCTCACTCCCGTGGGTTCGCCTCTCAGCCAGCCCCACACCTCTCAAACCGGCTTCTTGATCCAAGCGCTTTCCCAGGAACCAAAGCAGGGGGTCTTAGCAATAAAGGGGAAATAGCAAAGAAAGGCTCTGGGCAGATCGCAGCCAGTCCCCAGAGCTGCCGGTGAAAGGATTGAGCGCATGATCTCCTAACAAAGGAAAGAAGAGCCGTGGATCCTGGGAACCGAATAATGTCCCCTAATAGGTCTTGGATGAAAAGGAAGGGGGCTGGTGTGAAGACCCCACTTTTAGAAACTGAAGGAAGAGGAGCGTTTTGAGATTACAAGATAGGCAGGGGGAGGTGGGGATAGAGACGGGGAGACTTGTGATGCTGCGAGGATGAGAGGAATGAAGTTTTGTGTGAAGAACATGTCTTCCAAGCCGAGCAGCAGGAATTCTTCTGAGATTGCGTGCAAACTCCACTTTTTTTTCATCAGGAGGAAAACCCAGTCAAATGCTAGGCGAGGCTTAAGATTTAACAAGAGGGCTTTGGGGTGTTGTATTTGTTAGCTGTTGTAATTCAAGCAGGTAAAAACAAAAATAAATTATTTTTTAAACAAGCATCAATCCTAAGAGGAACTCTTGTCTTTCTCAGTGTCATGGCCCACTTCTGGGAAGAAGTTATTATGGGGAAGGGGGAGGGGGTAAGTGAATTTGAACATGTGCTTCCTCTCATAAGAACAATCCTCATCACTTTTGGGAAATAAATACAACCGACTTACACAATGTTTTTTGGGAGCAAGCAATCAGCCCTGGAAATGCACCCCACCCTAGTTTAGCAAATTTAATTTTCTGAATTGCTGAGTTAAAATCTAACCACCTCTTTTGACCTCTAGTTCTGCATTCCATCATTCTTTTGTGCTTGCGTGGTGCAAATATTCTGTATTCAAGGAAGTCTAGCTGAGAATTCCAGGCACTTTTCACAAATGGATTAATACAGATTTTTTTTAAAGAGTGAGAATTACGTATCTCCTAATTGTTGAGAAAAAAACATCTAATAATAACTGATGGTAAGTTTTTATTGGCCTTGTAGACACAAAGTCCAATCTATGTGTCACCTATAGAAATGGATTAAGAGTTCCTTTTCCAACCTACAATCACTGTAAACTGGGAAGTTTCTTCTTCATTGCTGTAACCTATTGGGTCTCATGTAATTAGTGAGTGGAATGATCCTTATGGTTTCACAGAAGCTGTGTTAAATGGGCAAAGAATGAATGTATGGAGCGCTGCTTTTTTCCAGAGTTTCTTGCAGCAGCACCTGGAAGTATCCATGCATATACCTAAAACTGGCTATTGCTGGAAGCAAGGCATTAGTCTACATCTTATGAGAAGGACTGAATCTAAAACATCTCTTGTGTTCCACCTGTATGTCTTGTTTATACAGAAAGGAATGATTCTTTCAGCTGAAAATTTAAATACAATATCTTAAACTGGCTTGACTATAAAAAAAATCTGTTTCCAGTTTTTTTGCTATATTCCTCCTGCCCATCACATTATGATCTAATTCATGTAACCATGGTTTGATGAATAAATTGCAATTACAATCCGCTGAATTTGCACATATGCTAGGCCATTTTATGATTCAGCAGCATACCTGCACCCAGTCTGCTCTGTTTGCCAGCCCTTGTTCAAGATCTCCACAGATTTCTTAAAAAGCAGAGACCTAAATTGCTTCTGAGTGGAGCAGTTCCATCTGCTATTTCTTCTATTGAAAAGGTCTATTGTCTGAGCTGCATTCTCCCTCCCTGGCTGTGAGAGCTGTGTTCATGCAGTAGAGTCACCCCAGACATGGTGCCAATGTGTTCCAAGACCGATTCAAACTCTCAAATGGCCCCGAGTCAGCATTGTTTAGTGTGCTGCTTCTACTTCTTTAAAATAATCTCTGCAATTTAATTAAACCCAGATACCAGGCTTGCTACAGAATAGTTCATGTATTTACTTAAAGAATTTATATGGCTGCCCGTGGCTGGCTAGCAAACATCCAGAAAAGTATATTATAAAGCCTCTAATCACAAAATGAAAACAACATTAAAGTAACCATAAGACAATAGCCAGGGCACCATTACAGACTCATAACACAACTATACTTACAGTATATTGGCTCAATATCCCATCCAAGCACCTGGAACACTGCATGTCAGTCATCACAGCCTTTCAGAAGACCAAGAAAGTTGGGGTCCTCTGGATCTTGGAGGTCAAGCTGCTCCATACCAAGTGTCACATCTCCTAGGTCCCATCAGATAATATTGAGCAGAGGGGGCCTGGAATATCCAAATTCTGTTGTGTCTGGTGGGATGAACAGAAACCCTCAGAGAGAGGCGATCCTGCATGTTATCTATCCCTATGGCATGTAGGGCAGTGATTCTCAACCTTTTCTTCCCCACGGGCCCCCTTTAAATATATTTTGTGGCCACAGACCATGGCCATGGATCCCCAAGACTTAAGGTTTAAATCATAACATTTCTTCAAGCCTTCGCAGACCCCCTGTGATGACATCATGCCCCCCCAGGGGTCCGTGGACCACAGATTGAGAAACACTGATGATGAAAAGATTAAAGAGCCCTTTTTATGCTTTACTTATTGATCTTTAAATGTATCAAGTAACAACTAGGGAAACAAGACAGAATTTTGAATTGCCCATAATTTTGATGCATCTAAGAGTTGAAGAAGTTTAGAACTTCCGCATCAAAAGCCCTGCATTTCTGGTGCCATCCCTCAAGTAGAGGTTATCAGTTAGTGAAACTTAATCTTAGCAACTTTAAGATATGTGGACTTCTACAGCTTCAAATATGGTCTAGGGCAGTGATGGTGGCGAACCTTTTAGAAACCGAGTGCCCAAACTGCAACTCAAAACACACTTACGTATCGTCGGGTGCCGGGTGGGCATGGCCCATTGGATGGGTGTGGCCAATTAGGTGGGTGTGGCCAATTGGGTGGCGTGGCCCATTGGGTGGGCATGGCTGCAGTGATAACAGCAGACTGGGTGGGACTAAAAAGTTCAATCAATCAATTCTAACTTTGCGAGATCTTTTTTGCCCCCGCAAGACATTGAAATTGATTGATTGATTGATTGAACCTTTTTTTTTTTGCACAGTGGAGGCCTAAAGCGAAAAGGTTTTATAAAACCCAGCTGAACTAGGACTGGGGCGATGTCATGTGTGCTCACAGAGAGGGCTCTGCTTGCCACTTGTGGCACGCGTGCCATAGGTTCACCACCACGGGTCTAGGGAATTTTGGGCATCGACAAACACTAAGTTAAACTATTCATATTCCAGCAGACCAATACTGGATCATTTCACAACATATTATACTAGACTAAAATAGGGCTGGGTCCTTTGTCGTTCAGGGTTAAAACAAGGAATCTATGCTTAAACAGAACATAGGAAAATTGGGAAGGCGATACAGAACTGGACAGAGTCTAATGTCCGCTGGAAGGATTGTGAAGCTGCTGGGGTGGACAGCTGGAGATCCTTGTGGGAAATTAACTTTTGAGCATGTGACCTGTAGTGTCTTGCATATTGCATCCCTTTGCAAATCCCACCCCTTATTTCCTGAAAAGGACAGAAGCAAATTGAAATTTACCCTGTGCTGCTTTGTCTTTTGCTTGTCTCCTCAGGTTGCAGGCAGGCTCTCCTCCACCGGTTGTGATCTTCCCCCTTGACAGCCACCAAAGCAGCAAGATACTAAGAACAGCAGACAACATGACATTGGCAGGTATGGGAATGCTGGCAAATTTGCTTCTGCAAATCCTTTCAAAGGGAAAGAGACATTCTCACAGCTGCAGTATAGTGGTCATGCACTGGTTTGGTTGTAAAGTGGTCAAAGGGGATGGTATGTGTGAGTGTCCTGTTTTTCACTCTTCCCTACTGGCACCAGAGACCTGCTGCCTCCCTGGCTTCCAATGCTTTAGTTAAATCCCCAAGGAAGATCTCAAGAGTAAAGTTTTCCCATGGGATGTTTTATCAGTAATGAAATGGGCGTAGCTCATGGGAAATCCTGTCCTGGAGAAACCACTGAGGGATTTTTTTTCCTCCCATGCTTAATGGAATTCAGTTCAATCGTCTATTTTCTCTCCTTGCAAATTAGCTGAAAAACTTCTAAAGGCTATTGGGCATCTATTTAACTAGTTCATTTGTCTCCATATGGCTTGCTTTTTTGGGGTCTTTTCCCAGTTCCAGAACTTCCTTTTAAGATGCGGTGACCAGATGTGGACACACAACATTTCAAGTGCAACTGAATTATGAATTTGTATAAAAGCATTAGCAGAACTCAGCATCTGAAAATGAAGCCAATAGCAGCTCTTCCTCTTCCTCTCCCCCTCCCCCTCCATTCCTTTCCATATCTGCCATGAAATGAGCAAGGAAGCAAAGAAAACAAGGCCAGGAACAAATGCTAGTGAAATTGCAAATAATTCCTCCTTTTTTGTAATTGTGTTTTGCTTTTTTTTGTTTTCCCATAGCCTATAAAGAAAAAATGAAAGAGCTCCCCCTGGTGTCCCTCTTCTGTTCCTGTTTCCTCTCAGACCCTTTAAATAAACCATCTTATAAATATGAAGGTAAGTAAAAACTCATATTGTTGCCAAGAAAGCTGCAGTTATTACTGAGGGAAAATGCCACTCTTCCAAGGGTTCTGTGTTGACCTCAACACAATGTATTGTGGGTGACAATTTATATTGGATTATATTCCAGTAATTATTCTGTGTTATTAAGATAGATAATGCAAAAATGAAATATGAGGATATATATATATATAGAGAGAGACATTCTAGGATTCTGTAACTGGATTCACAAAATGCACTTAGCACAAATTGGATTAATGAATTAAACCAATTTTCTCTCATGGTATATGGAATAATAAACTATCCAGAACTGGATTTGCAAAAAAAAAAAAAAAAAAGAGTTAACTGACTTTTATATGTTGTTCCAGTATAGCAGCTAGATTTCTAACTGAACCAATTAAGCGAGTTGTGTGAATTTAACCTTTAAGAAGAAATATAATATTGCTTCATTTTTATCTTTGGCTCAGTGCCATTTTCCAGCATGATGAAAGAACAGGCACCAAAGAAAGGATTTTTCACATGTTGATTTCCAAACTTGGAAACCTTTTCCTTTCATGTCTACTTCTTTGCTGATGAATCCCATCATGTCTGCACCAGGGTTACAGAGGAAACCTCCGACCCCCTGTGGGATACAGATTTCCAGTAGTTTTCTCTGTGGCCTAGAGAAATTATGCCCATTGCTAGTTTAATTGCTTCCTGGCATACTTATTCTTCAGCTTTTCTCTCCTTTTTGTTTAGTAGACACTGTAGACTTGACCTGGTGTGTCATATCTGACATGGAGGTCATTGAACTCAACAAGCGCACCTCAGGACAATCCTTTGAGGTTATCCTTAAGCCACCGTCCTTCGATGGAATCCCTGAATTCAATGCCTCCCTGCCTCGACGGCGTGACCCTTCATTGGAGGAGATCCAGAAGAAGCTAGAAGCTGCTGAGGAGCGACGTAAGGTGAGAAATAGTTTGTATCTGCATGATATCCACAGTGCAGTTAAGAAATTTAATGGGCTTTATGGTAACAGCAAGCCACCTCTTTGGATAGTAAAGCCTATTATTCACTCCTTCAAATCCATTGAGCTAACCATCCTGTTTTGAGGATTCTCCCTATCATTCTGCAGAGTAAGGGCTTTAGTCTTTGCCCTTCCCAATGGCATCAACCTTGACAAATAGGTGCAGTGTTTCTCAACCTTGACAATTTTAAGGCATGTGGACTTCAACTCCCAGAATTCCACAGCCAGCAGTCAGAGCTGAAGAAGCTCCTTGGATGAGAAGCGAAACATCTTCAAAGAAAAAAAAGAAAGTCCAGTTGCCTCATGAAAAAGCATCTTTGGGATAACTATGACCTGGATGACCGAGAATCTCCATAGACATTTAGCTCTCCAATTGCTTATAAAGCAGTTCCATCAAATGGGCTGATCTCAGGAAGAAAGAAATTGGTGGTGCTTTCCTGGTTTCAGATGATTGATCATCCATTAGGAGGCATCATTCATTTATCCTTGTTCCTGCCTGACCTTAATAGGTAGTCCTGAATAGCTTCTGGACTACAACTGTGGGGGAAAGAGATGAATGAATTCTTTTTCTTGGCTCAGCTTTTCTCTTGGATCCTGAGTTAGCTCTTTTTCTGTCCCATTGATCTTAAGGAGTGATCTTTGTCCACTCCTTTCCTCTTAGAAATATTTTAGGAAATATTTTGTTAGAGCCCTGGTTCCTTGTTTGCTTACAGTGTATCTACTGTTTGGGCTGGAAATTAGATCCAGGTTAACAAATTTAAAGTTTGGAGTGGCTTCCCAAGAGAGGGCCTTTTCTATGGTAGATTTGTTAAATCACAGGAGGTATCTCAGTTCACTTTCAACAACTCTACAGGCATGTTTGATAACCCCACTCTCAACAAAGCTTATGCAGAATGTAATGTGTTCCTGTAAAGGCAGGTCTTAGATCATCCTGCATGAAACCAGAGATGATCAAGTCAACCTCCTGAAAACCGAGTAGAAAAATCGATTTGCACAAAGGAGAAATTGCTAAATAATGTATTCATATCTGGGTGTGTAGATATGAGTAACCCTTCTGTGTTACTCATGTAACAGATTCATTCATGTGGTCAGTACATTCAGATAGCAATAAATAAACCTCTCTTTTTGCCAGTATCTAGGTATAGCTTTATTTGGCAAGACACAAGCAAATAATACCTTCAAGTATCTTTACCTGATGTTTGCTTGAAAACTTTTGCAAGATTACACAAGCATAGAATTTATAAAGAAAAGGAAAAGAACAGGAAAAGTTTCAAGTGTATGGCAGGAATATAAATATGTAAGGTAACTGTAAACTAAATATGTAAGGGAACTGTAAACTAAAGCTTGGATTTCAGAGAAGAATCACATATAGGGCTAAACTTAACCACCTCACCAACTTTGCAATGGCTTCCTCAGTGAGGTATCTTTTGTGCCATCTTCGTTGCATTTTTAGCACCAGGCAAAGACGTTATACTTCTTCCTAGCTTTTAATCATGAAGGTGGCCATGAAGATGTAATCAAACCTTGCTTATTTTATACGCATTACAGTAGGGCTTAGATCATGGAAGCCATCTTAACTTTTTTGACCGTTCCTTAGGGAGATGCTTGATAGTGCTTTAAAGTATGTTTCTATTAATTTTTTCACTCATTGTTTGAATTGTATTGTAAACCACTTTGGGATTTGTGTTAAAATGGGAAATAGTGTACAAATAATACATGCAGATATTTTGTCTAACTGAATCATCCCAAATTGGGTGCCATGGTTTGCTACTTATTTCTGGTAGGAGCTGAAAGAAATGAGGTTCTTTCAGATCCAGCTTTCACGTAGATTTGCTATACTGAAAGAGGCAGAAAACAAAACTCTGGGCAAATTCTCTCATTTTTTTTAACCAGGGGAAGCAATCCATCCTCCTTAAGTGTTATCACCAGGCTATTGACAATATTTTTTAAAAATGCTGTGCTGTTGTCAATAGGTTACTTGTTTTTGCACTACATGATCTTCGAAAGGTCATATCTGATCCATCTCATTATAATTACTTGACATTTTACAAATTAAAAGCCAAGCTAGCTTGCCTGAGCTGCTGGTTAATTGTATTCTATAAAGTACCCCTTACGATACATAGAGGGAAGTAAGATCCTGATCTGCAAGGGAAACTGGTATAAGTTAAATTGAAAGACTTTGTCCCAACTGTGTTAATTTGACCATAAAGAAAAAGGCTGGGGATATAAAAAAAAAATCTGCATTCGTGACCCTGAACAGGTTTTCCTGCTATATTTAAGCATTCAGCAGGTGAAAGAAAACTTTCCAAATGTATCTTGATGAACACAGTTTACAAAAAACAAATGTGGTTGGAAAACTGAGATTGATAAATTTCAAATCCCTATAAAGCAATTGGAAATCCATCTTCTTAGCCATTCATCAATTTAATAGGATACTTTTGGACTACAGTTCACATAATCCTAAGCCACCGTGGTTAGGTTGGACAAAACTTAAGATTTTAGAAAAGGAAAAGAAGGAAATAGCAATACATTTTGGGGAATGCCATCTATCCCAATTTTAAACCAGGCAAAGTAGAAAGTTTCTTATAAAATGAATAATGCATACCTCATGCTTATATATTGATATTTGTACATGGAGTGTGCATGACATATTCCAGCTGTGTTTGGGCACATTCATCTATTGTTGCAAAGCTCTTAGCAATAAACAATTTTGTTTTTGAACCAGAGCAGGAGGCAAAACTGCAGAAATTAGCCAACTCTGACATACACAGCAAACAACCTACTGACTCCCAGTACTGATTTTTGACTTTTCAACAGATTGTCTTTGTATCATCAGCAGTTTAGATGTGGGAATTTCTCTCTTTATGAAGTCACCAGATCCAATCTTGTTATCAATGCAAAATAGCCCAGTGAAGCATAGATTTTATTAGCAGAGATTTACTTGGAGCCTGCTGTATCTAACCTAGGATCTGCTTCATTGTCCTTCAATCAATGCATCCTATATATGTGTATCATTCTCATATTATTCTATGGATATAGTACCAGGAAGCAGAACTCCTGAAGCATTTGGCAGGAAAACGGGAACACGAACGAGAAGTCATCCAGAAAGCCATTGAGGAGAACAACAATTTCATCAAAACTGCCAAGGAGAGGCTGATGCAGAAAATGGAGTCCAACAAGGAGAACCGAGAGGCACATTTAGCTGCTATGTTGGAACGTCTTCAGGAGAAGGTGAGGGGCCCACACTAGTAAGGATGGAGGTGGAAGGTGTGGGTTGCACTGGATCAAGACATGTGTGCTAACCAGTGCTTTTTTTTCAAAAAAAAAAAAAAAAAAAAAAAGGTGCCGGAACTCACACACGTCATACAACCCACCTTGCCTACCCTACAAGGTTCCATCCCAAAAAGGTGCCGGAACTCCGTTCTGGGCGTTCTATGACAAAAAAAGCCCTGGTGCTAACTACAATGGGTGTGAAGATAAACAGGATCACTCCTTTCTCAGGATTATTATCTTCAGTTCAAAGTGCTAATAGACTCTGAAGGCCCAACAGGTGTATCATGTGTGAATCCAGTAATTGTGCTTCTATGGTAGCCAACTAGATGTTTCTAGGAACATGTTAGTCGTGGCCCTGTTCCCCATGTTTCTTTCATGGTCATTGATATTCAGAGATATGCAGCTCCTCAGGAAGACTAGTGGAAGCCACTGGAATCCTATGCATGAGCTGCGTGGTGGCCTAGAGGTGGAGCAATCGGGAAGCTGTGAATTTGATCATAGCAGCAGATATTTCTCTCTCTGGGCGCAAAGAGAAAGTATCTGCTGTGAGCTCTGTATAGACATCAGGAAGGGCATCCGGCCAGTAAACACCAGAGCTCCTTTCAGTCACCCTGACTCCACCCCAATGCAAGAGATTACAGGGTAGTTAAAAGAAAAAAAAAGGGAGTCCTATGCATGAATTTGCTTATTCCACTAAGTTGATGACTCTAGCCACATCTTGTGATGTCTTTTTTTTTTTTTTTTTTTTAGGATAAGCATGCTGAGGAGGTCCGGAAGAACAAGGAATTAAAGGAAGAGGCCTCAAGGTAAAGAGGCCCTCAGGCAGAAAACAATTTGAACTGACGGCTCTAAGGAAAGATGGCAGCAGGCGGCAGTACATGGTGGAGGCTGCCTTAATGCAAAGTGTTGACTGAGGAACTGGGATTGTCCTCTGCTTTCGTTGTTTGTGAATGTAAAGAATTGATGGGAGAAGCCATCTCGTGTGTTTCAGGGAGGGAGGGGGACATAAGGGGAAAAGGAAGCTGTGAAGAAGAAGTGTGCATATCTGGGGAGGGAAGAGGGTGGGCATGGATCAGAAGACACCCCCCCCAAACAATGAGATGATTTGTTGTTTGTTCCCACATGGGTCCTTCTGAAGATGGAATCCAAATACTGGAGGGGTAGTAAGAATACCAATTTTGGAGGGAAGTATTCAAGAAGGGGTGGGGGTGGGCTGGGGCAATGAACAAAGAAAGGTAATTTGGTGATGAGCCCAGAGCAAACAGAGGAAGTAAAATCACCTCTGGGGTGAGTGTTGTCTTGTGTGTTTTGCCATTGTTAGTCCCCTGTGTGATAAAAACAGTCCTCATTTCTGTGTTCCTTTGTAACTTTCCATCGTGTCTCTTAACTCCAAGGTATTACAAGCCTGGTATTGCTTAACTAAAGGTGGCCGGGTGCTGATTTTGACCCCATAGGCCTCTGTTTTAAAAATAATTGTAACAATAAATGCCTTTTGCCAGAGATTGACCATGGTCAGCTATGAATATAATTTCTCCTGCTTTTCCATTCAGACCCGTAATGGAGAACCAGGTTCTTTGAAGGACAATGAGTTTAGGACAATTGAAACGTTATTTCCTTGGGATAATAATAACAAAAGAATGTTTGTATGGATACCTTCTCAAGTAGACACTATGAAACTGTGTGATAAAACAAACAAGCATGTTTTAAACACACACACACATCTGACTTCAGAATTTAAACTATCTTTATACCACTAAGAATCTGAGGAGTTTATTCATAAAATAAGACTTTGAGATTTCATAAATTCCCATCACTTTTACACACCAGCATTTTCTTCAGCTTCACAACATTCCTCATTAAGAAGCTTGTTTGATAAATTGCTTTTAGAAAGAAAAGCCATCCCTTGAAGAACATACTGCATTTGATAATGGAATATTCAGCATCATTTTTAAGGAATACATTAATAAGGATGGATTAATAAGGCACTAGGTTTGAAGAAATGATTTTAAAACCATACAGCTGATTTGACTGTGGGAAAACAATGTTAGCAGAAAGGAATATATGAATGACAAGATGGTAGGACTAAATAGGGTGCTTAATTGCTTTTTTTAAAAAAGTTTTTTATTAATAAAACAATTAAAACAAAAAAGGACATGACATGACGTTCCAGTATATATAATCCTAACAATTCGTTCCTTATCATATTTAAAGTTCTATATATACATCTCTCTCTATATATATATACATATATTCCCCTATATAATACAATATTATACAATCTCAAGCTTATTTTTCTATATATTAACATATAATTTTATATACCACAAACTTAAACTTTAACTCAAAACCCGAACAGTTCTTCTTGACTCATACCAGCAGTAAAATTTGTCCCAGATTCCAAAATAGTCCGTTTCTGTCTTGTCCTTTAGTTCCATAGTTAGCCTGTCCATGTCTGCACACGATAAAATTTTTTGTAGAATCTCTTCTTCAGTAGGAATTTCTTTGTTTCTTTGTTTCTCCAATTTTGTGCATAGGTCAGTCTGGCGGCCATGAGGATGTGTAGCATTAGGTAGAGTGTCCCTTTATCATATTTTTGTATGGTAATACCAAGTAAGAAGAGTTCTGGTTTTAGTTCTACCTCTGTTGTTAATATTTCTTCTAACCATTTTTTAACCTTGTTCCAAAAAACACGGGCTTTCGGGCACTCCCACCACATATGATAATATGTCCCTCTTGCCAAATTACATTTCCAACATGTAGGGGAAAGGGTGCTTAATTTCTTATTGCTTCTCAGTCACCAAGGTTGAGGAGGTGCAATGGCTCAGTGGTTTAATGATGCTGGAGATGGTCTTTACTCCAACAGTTCAAGTCCTAACTCTGTGTAATGGGGTGAGCACCCATCATTTGCCTCAGCTTCTGTTCACCTAATACAGGTGTAGTCAACCTTGGCTCTTTTATAACTCGTGGACTTCAATTCCCAGAATTCCTGAGCCAGCCTAGCTGGCTCAGGAATTCTGGGAGTTGAAGTCCATGAGTCATAAAAGAGCCAAGGTTGACTACTCCTGACCTAATAGTTCGAAAGCATGTTCTATGCAAGTAGATAAATAGGTACTGCTTTGGTGGAGAGACAAATTGCTGCTCTGTGTAGGCAGTCAGATTCCTGCTGGCTCTGAACCCTCCTGATTGTGCGCCTGTTTATGAGGCAAGTCCAGGGAAGGGAGAGCGCCTAAGATGGCGCCTCAGGAAGAGCTTCTCATCTTTCTTTCTAGTGCGAAGCCAGCTCACCCTCCTGTGGCACACCTTGGGAAGCACACAAGCGTATTCAGCAACACAGATGGCAAAGTGGCAGCCAAACTACTACTGTACACTGCAATAGCATTGTGGTTTCCTGGTTAATATAACAATGCCATACGCTAACAACAGCAGCAGCAGCAACAACAACCAGGGTTGAGAAACACTATGCTACACATTTTGCCCAAATGGTACTCCATTCTTTGCAATAGTGTTGAGGTGTTCCTGTTTGTGAGATGCTGGGTTCCTGCACATTCTGAAGCACAATTTCTGGATAAAATCTGAAGGATGTACAATCCTAATATTTTATACTACCATAAGGGCTTTCAGTTTTTGTGGTCTTCAAGCAAGAGAACCAGTGTACAAATAAAATAAGAGATGAAGCTAGGTTGGTGAAGATAATTCTTATGTCTTCTCTAAAACTTCAAGTAGAAAGAATATAGGCTGTTTTTGTACAACATAACTTGGTTAAAATATTGTCTGATTTGTAACTCAAGATCTGAGTGTAATCATGTTTATCTTTCTTAATGTAAATATAGTACATAATCTATCTACCGATAACAGTAACCAAATTGATTATGACGTGCAAATGCAACAACTAAACCATAAATTGTCTTCCTCAAGCATGTTGTGTGAACCCACATAATTGGATTATTTTATTAAACCATAGTTCAGTGAAATCAATATGTTGTGCAAATGCAGCCATAGAGGTTTTTACAGCAGCTCCCTTCTGGGATGTTGTATACAAACCATTTATACTTCACTGTGCAATGTTTTCTGAGTTAAAGACTGCAGTTTGGGTTGAACGTCCTGTTAATTTCATTCATTGACGTATCAGTTAATTAAAATGTAATCAATCCTTTTATCATTAGGTCACATTTAATAGCAGCACTTAGCAATAGCACTTAGACTTATATACCACTTCACAGTGCTTTACAGCCCTCTCTAAGCAGTTTACAGAGTCAGTATATTGCCCCCAACAATCTGGGTCCTCATTTTATTGACCTTGGAAGGATGGAAGGCTGAGTCAACCTTGAGTGTGTGAGATCTGAACTGCCAAACTGCCGGCAATTGACAGTCAACAGAATTAGCCTGCAATACTGCATTCTAACCACTATACCACCACACCACCAAATTATAATCTGGTAAAATACATCAAAAAGCTTGTGGGAAGCACACGAAACCCTGTGTGCAATGTATAACTAATTCTTATGGAACAGATATCAGAATATACTAAGGAGAACCCTGCAAACTTGCAAAACCAGAAAACAATCTTTAGGAAATGAATTTTAAATGAATAAAATTCCAAAACCCTTACAATGAACATTAAGCTTGCTACAATGCAAGAGAAAACTGACATTGTTGTTGCAGTGAATAGCTAGACATTAACAACTTGGTAGATGCTGTACATTGAATTAAAAACTTTTGTGCACCACCATGAACAATAAGCAATGACCAATGATTATTGAAAGGTAATCATACATATTTTGCTGGAATTTCCAAGGCACAGGAGAATATTTCTTTAAAGACATGTCCGAGCATGTTACATAGCCATTCCTAGTGCTACAGCTCTCAGTGGGAATACCATTCCTAATAGCTCTGAGAGTGTCCAGCTGCTATGAAGTTCCCCACCTCGCTTCCAGTCCCCTGATCTGATCAATCTAGGTCAGCTACCTGCCTGCCATTCTTCTCCCCTGTGAAGCAATTCCCCTTGCTTGGCAGCAGATGGCACTGTAAGCAAGCCAGATCTGCATTTGCACTTTTTCCTAAGCATTTTTTTCTAGCTCCCTGACAAGGCCTAGCATTCTTCCCCATAGCACAGTGATGGCGAATCTTTTAGAGACCGAGTGCCCAAACTGCAACCCAAAACCCACTTATTTATTGCAAAGTGCCAGGGCCGCATCAGCATTATGGTGCCCTCGGGGGGGGGGCGCGGCAGGGAGGCTCCTCTGAGTGCTGCTTCTGGCACGCAAAACCCGGGGGCACAAAAATGGGCCACCGTGCTGCAAGAGGCAAAAATGGCCACCACCGCGCCGCAGGGTGCAGATACAAGATGCTGCACCACATAAGAACGGGGCATGGCTAGTGAGTATCATGCAGGCACTAGCCCCGCCCTATTTGCAGTGTGTCAATGCTCACGGCTCCGTGTGCGCATGCACGCATGTAAAATGCTTCCCCCTCCCTTTTCTTCCAGTCCACCAATCGACAATGGTTGGTGACCTCTGCTCTACCACCTCTACTCGAGCTTGCTAGTCGGCTGCTTCCCCTCCTTTGTGCTGGGCGGAGCTCCTGCTCCAGGTGGCGGTGGTGGCCTGATGGACCTGCTACTGGCGGCGGTGGTGTGCGTGCCAACAGAGAGGGCTCTGAGTGCCACCTCTGGCACGCGTGCCATAGGTTTACCACCACTGCCATAGCACATTGGGCTAAGCTCCTCTAACTTCGGGTTGACTATCTACCCAGCTTGTCAATGCTTACTTCAATCTATCAGCAGACAGCACTGGATGTAATAATTCCCTAGAAATCT